ATCCATCTACTGCAATAATTTCATGCATTGGTCTCCAGACGTGGTAGCATATCGACTTGGCCTAAGCAGTTCAAATTTTTTTCACCAGCAGGAGTTGCTTATATAGAAGTTACACATCTTAATAATCTGGTATAACCTTTTTTCAAGCTTCTAGACAATGTTGTTAAGTTCGAAGTTGGAATCAGTTGGGGATTTTATGATTCAGAAAATCAATGCAGCTTTCTATATTATCGTTTCATATCACCGTTTGCAGCAAATACATGAAAAAACTGAATATACTTTTGGTGCTAAAGATGTATAAGAAGTAAAAAATTACTTAAGACCTACCACAACTCCTCAAAAAAATCGAAAGTGTGTGTCAAATTAGTCCCATTTGATGGAGCTAATAGAATACATTGGTGGAGCTAAAGTGATACAGCCTAATAACTCTTTGAAGTTTGATTGGGAAAAAAATGAGCGGGCTAGAGTGAGACACCTTAGAGTCTACTGTCTCTGAAGTATTATTTTTATCTTTTGCTGCGCCCAAATACTGTAGAAGTTTGAATTCCTGGTATATGGTCATTTAATATAATATATTTTCTGTTATTTGCAACTTTTTTGTTAATTTTGGATACCAATAAGTAACGACTATACAATGGCGTCTGAGCACCAGGTCTCAGTAGGTAGTGAAGGCAAACATTGTTTTATTGACAAAATAGTTGCTTCTTTTTAACGCATTCCCTACCCGATCTTTCAGGAGTCACCACTGGTTACTGACGAATCACTGTTCTGTGTATAACATTCTTAATGTGTTTGTTTCGATTCTTCTGAGAATGTGAAGATGAATGTAATGAAATTATTCAGACATTGTACGGTAACAATTGAATCAGGCGGTATTTATTTTTAGAAACAATTGTTGCTAAAACTTTAAAACAATGCAAAAACAGTTCATAATCATACTAGAAATGAATTTTCACAACGTAAAATCTCTCCCAGATTCGATACCAGGAACAGCTGACTACAAAACATTAAGAATTTGTGTTTTCATAATCCCACTCGTGGCAACCTCTAAGCTACGGCCTGCCTCCTAAAATGTGTGCAAGTGTAGTGCATGTGTGTGTAAGTAAGGGACTGAGGATAGGACAAGGAAGGGGAAGTAAAGATCGCGCACTGTCAATGTCCCGTTTGTTAGGGTGCTTCTCCGGTATTCATTTTGTATTGATCGGAGACCCCCGGAAAAGAACCGATCTGAGCAGCCGGCCGCTATAATTCCCCTTCTGACAGCGGTTGAATTTTACCTTCCTATAAAGCTAGTGTCGAAAGTCCGCCTCCGTCGAGCCCTAGGACCTTCCGGTGAAATCTTTGCAAAGCCAGTGGCAATTTTGGATCTGAGCTAAACTCATCCATTGTGTTGTTTATTGATTGTTGTTGTTTGTTGGTAGGTCTGGTGCGGCAGCAGTCGCTGTCTCGGCCTCCTGCGTCGTCGGCGGGCTTCTACCCCGGGGCCAGCGCCACCACGGCCTCCCCGTCCACGCCCACCA